AAAAAAAAAAAAAAAAAAAGAAATTAAAGCTGAGAAAGCCACCATGACTTTTAGGTTCACAATACAGAATATCTGCTTGGGCCTCCATGCTTCAAATGTGGCCACTTGTCACAGTCCCTTCAATGATGTTAAGGCACATATGGCACAGAAAAAAATCAAAAGCAATCATGATAGTTCACCTGAGAAATGGCCAATGTCAAGCCCACAGCAGATGAATATGGAAGGCAAAAATGAAACAGAAAGTCGAGTCCATATAAATTTTTACTAAGTTAGGGTTCCGAGTTCTTTCTAAGGCATACAAAACAAGGAAAGGAAAATAAAGCACCTGGGCTCATCCTTGAGGCTGGGCCTAGTGCAGAATGGCTTTATCCCCGATTCAAGAAGCACGGGGACTCCTGCCCATACTAGCCAGATGACTGCTCTCAACCACCATAGCTTCCCATGGAAAAGGTGACTACTGGTAGGATACAAGATGCTGTCAAGAACTGACTCTTAACTGATCCTACCCTTATTACTAAAATTTAGTAAAGCAACAGCTTTTAATTTTCTAGAAATGGCAGTCTCAGATTTAAGACATTACTGTCTAATATATATAATGTGGCAGATTTTGTGTCTCTTGCATTTAGTGGCTTGTACTCTTATGAAACAACTCTTTTGTGAGAGATAAAAATTTACTATTTGTCAAAATAGTCAATCATTCGTTCAACTCTCAAAACTTTAGCCCCTGAGGTGACTTTCACAGATTACCCAGAGAAACGAGCCTACCACATCTGGTTCCTCTGGTGGGAGGTGAGTGGAGCTCTTTAAACTACAACTGGACTCCCACTCTTAACATCCCTAGGTCCATCCTATTTGGACATGGCCTCTCCCTGCTCTGAATTAAAAATCATGTCAAGACATCTCTGGATCTCAAAGGGTCTTGGGCTTCAACTGCTATTTTGATGTTCTTGATTCTGACTGAAGAAGTCCACATGAGATTATAACTATGCATTTAAAGGTACAAGGGAAGGGGATATTTCCTGTGAACTATTAATGAGACTCAAGTATTACCAGGTAAGAAGAAATTACTATAAACTGGAAGAGGGTAAGAAAGAAAGATGACAGTTCTCAGTAAAGATACCTATGATGGGCTAGGACAAGAGAAAGTATCTTTTTCATCCTCGTTTCACAAATTTCAACTCTTCCTATCCCCTAACCTCCAGAAATTCCCAATTTGTAACCAAAAAAAAAAAAAAAAAAAAAAAGAGAGAGAGAGAGAATTCACTTCACAAAAAATACATATTTCTCCCAACTTTGCTCTAACATTTTGTCTTGCATATTTGTACTCAACTTGAAACAGACATCACTATAGATCTAGGGAGGAGAGACCCACATGGGACTACCATGAAGCAGCAGGACAGCAAAGTAACAGCTGGGAGGGACCAACTTCATCACCTTCACAAGCCTTATCAGTTCCAGACTGAGCAGGTCTGGATTGACAGAAAAGACACAGATGAAATTCTCACTGACTTAAAAAAAAAAAAAAAAAAAGGCAAAAAAGCATGCTGCCAACTCATCACTGTACTGTATCAACTTAATGTGCCCAAGAGGATTTCCAAGGTATTTCTAAATTATTTCAGGAAAATGAGGGTTTGTGTTAGCATGGCAGCTGCCAAATCATGTATGATTATGCCCTGCTGTCAGTACACAACAGCCATGAGCTTCTCAGGATGATCAGCCAATCTGGGCCAACCCTTGGCACACTCCCTTGAAGTTCACTCTGTAAAAGGATAAAGCCTTTGGCAGATAAAGCTCTTCCCACTGCAGAGGCATGAGCATGAGCCAAAGAAAGTCCCTTAGGCATCATGGGGCACTGAATGCCTTGAGGCAGGGAATGGGCTGAGATCATCTTTGAGCTCCTCATGCCTAACACAGTGTCTGACAAAGAATAAGCACTCAATAAATTTTTGTTCTATGGATAAATAAATGAGCAGGGAATTAATCTTAAAATCATAATTCATATTTAAATCCACTTCCATCGCAATTTTTTTTTTCCTTCTAGGCAAACCCAGCTCCTTACTAGAAAACACAAGACTATCCAGGGTGTGTTCCCTGGACTTGCCTCAAAGGTCCCCTATGCTGATGACACTTTCTCACCATTCCTTGTACTGCTTCTCACCTCTAAGCCTTTGCCTGTACTTGCCCTTACTGACCATACCATCCTTTCCTGCTTGTTTAACTTCTAGTGTTTCCTCTAAGACTCATAGTGTTCCATTTAGGAACCTTCTCTAACCTCACATCTTTCACAGATACTCCTTTTGATGTGCTCCCATAACACTCTACACAATTCTAAGAAATGTCTTACACGTCCCATATGGTGGTCATAACCTTTTAATATTTGAATCCCCAACTATATTTTAAATTTCTGGATAATCAGGACTATTTTATTCATGCTTTAATTCTCAATATCTAGCATAGGACTTTGTTCTCCGAGGATGTTCAATGTTAGATGAATAAATAATGACTGACAGAATTTGAATGCGAAGCTAACAGTATTGGGTCCTCTATAGCCTCTTTTTAAAAAAAAAATTTTTTTTTTAATTGTAGTTGGACACAATATCTCTATTTATTTTTATGTGGTGCTGAGGATTGAACCCAGTGCCTCACACGTGTGAGGCAGGCACTCTGCCACTGAGCTATAGCTCCAGCCCTCAATAGCCTCTTAAGATTCCCAAAGGATGGTACTTCTCTCAACAGTACTTTGGGGAAGAGAAAGAATCTTCTGATTACTACTGTAAAAAAAGAAGGTTACCTGACACAAATATAGAGGGAAAGAGAAATGGAGTCCACTGAAAAGCCCTTTTACTAAAGATCATACTACTCTTTATGGGCATGTTAGAGAAAATTTTTTTCTTTCTAAAATTTCTATGTTCATAGGAATCCTGGAGAATATCTTATACAATGTATTTTCTTCATATAATCTAGAGGAAAAACAGGGTCAAGAGAGATTAGGGTAACATGTTGCTTTCATCACTGAATCTGGGGCAATGCTCAGGTTTTCAGACTGCAAATCCAGCTTTGTAATGATTTGGCTGCCTCTCTGCCCTTGATGAGCTTTCCCCATCCACACCTATGAGGCACCATCTTGCTGGGTGGATGCCCTCAGCAGTTCACAGACCTGGCCCTGCTGAGGCTGTGCAATGATGATTTGCCCAGGCTGGATGGTGGTCGTGGAGCTTGTGGTCTGCTGGCCTTGCTGCTGCCCCTGGACTTGGACGGCAGTGGGCTGCTGAGCCAGCGTGAAGTAGTACTGGACAGGCTCGGCAGGAGTCACAGACTGGCGTACCTCCTCCTGTGGGGTGGAAGGACAGGCAGGTAAGAGGAAAAGAACCGACTCAGCAACCGCCACAGTGAATTTCCATTCTTCCCCAAAGAGGCTATGTGCAGTTGCCTCCTGAATGCTGAGCTCTCCACATTTGAAGCCAAAGGAAAGTGGAATTCGAAGAGACCAGTTGTGCTAAATCAAACTAAAAATAACAGATTCTATAGGCTTCACAAAACATACAGCCAATTTTCTGAGGTACTGAGTAATCACCCAATGTGCGATGAGTTGCAAACGGGCAAATAATTACCGTAACTAAAAATCACACCCCAGCAGTGCTTGTCAGTAAGTGCTGGCAAGGCCTGTGATCTAAGAACAGTGCTAATTGCCAGTGCTGGGGAAGACACTAACTAAATATCCTGCCACTTAGGCTGGTCCTCAATCTCCCAACCAGACAGCACTCTTCTTACTTTGCTCCCACCCATTCAAGAGGGTCTGGGCAAGGTAAAGGGAAACAGGGCTTTTCCTGGGCTAGAATTTCAGAATCAAATGTCAGATTCAAGCGCACTGGTAGGCAAGTGCCCAGGTTTTCACAGACATTGAAAGTTCTGTGGTTACTGAGGACATGTCTATCCAGTGTCATATCTGGTTCTGGTTGTACTTAGCCATAGAAGCGCAACCCAGGGGGCCTGATGGACAGCTCTCCGCTGGGGTGCTGCCTTGGCTGACTAGGGAGGTCGCATCCTGTTCGATTTGCAGAATGAAGACACTGTTCCTTCTTCAGCTGACGTTTTCCATGGCAGAAGGAGTAAACAACCTTCTCCCAGCCAACTTGAGCTCACAGCTGAGAGTGTAGGATGTTTACACACACTACAACATGGTTACAGCCCAGAGGGTCGGGGGTTGGTCAGCCCCTGACCACACAGAGATCGGCGTCTGATCCGGAGTGACCTGTGACACATAGTATCCCTGCCTGGGACAACAAAACAACAACAACATACAACCACGTGGCCTGGCTGAGTAAAAATATCAGCTGAATTTACTCATTTCCTTATTCTGAGCCAAGTTTGCTAGGTTTTTAGAAAAAATACTTCTTCAAGGTATAGAGACCCTGTGGATGCCTCAAAGCTCCCCAATGTGACATTTACAAAATTAGTATTGACCCCATTCCCTCAGTAATTTAGGTACCCCGAACTGTGCTTCCATGTTACTATCTATATTACACATTCTTGTATCTGTATGTCAAATTAACTGCCTGTTGGCTAGAATCTAAGTCCTAAAAGGGAAAACATTTGTTTCCCACTCTCTCCCTCTCTTGCTCCCCACTATCCTTACCATTTCTCATGTAGGTGCTCAGTAAGTCCTGGTTGAATAATGAGTAGATTTACATAGACAAGAAAACAGAGGCAGGAAAGTACTTTTTCAAGTTGGTGGTATGACAGATTTTCTTGAACCCAATAGCTGTTACCAACAGAGTCTGTGGCCATAGTGTGTGGAGAAAGTTGTATTATAGAGGTGGGTATTGTTTCGCTTTCCTAATACCTGGGGACCCAGATAATGGAATTAGGACTGCTGACATCTAGCCTTTAAGAAACTTGGGGCTCTGGATAATAGTGAGATTCTCTGATAGTCATCCACCTAGGCCAGGGAGAAACCTGTAACATTATGGGTGCATAAGCAAGTCCTTAAACATAAACTGACCTTCTAAGTTAATATATTCTGTTTTAGACCCACACAGTTTTAACCCTCACATAATCATACTGAGGAAGAAAATAAAGGAGATCTCCTTTTATTTTCATTTAGGTTTCGATTTCCAGAAAAACTTGACAGTGACAATACCAGATCCATTCCAATTCTTGACTTCTCACCATTATAAACAAAGGTTAGCCTGGCAACTAGGTTATGGCTGTGGCACAGATAAAATGTTGATACCATAAAGCCATGAAACTGAGGCCAACTGCTCTTTTCAAAGCTGCTGAGGTAGGTTTAATGTATTTATTTTTCTAAAGAGGTCTCTCTTCCTATTTAAAAAAAAAACACAAATTACTGAAGTCTAGATCTAACTTTGAAAAGTTCTTGGGTGATGAGAAGGTATAGAGGACTAAGAGCCCCAGAACCAGCTTGTAGGAAATCAGGCAACACAGAGACACTGGCACTTCCTAGCCCTGACCTATGACACTCTTCAGCTGTCCCTGGTTACAGATGATTTAACACTAAATATGGTCTTTTCCCCCCAAAAGCAAGCTCTTTAAGTATCCCTCCCAGAAGCCAAAACGCCCTTTGTGAAACCCTATTTGAACAGGTAAAGAGTCTCTCCTATGCTTCCTACTCATCCTCTAGGATGGTTAATGAACTAAGCAGTGTCTAGGACATTGAAATGAGTTATCAAGCAGAGGCACTTAGGTTTGTGTTGTCAGGACAAGACATGACTGTTCTCAAATCACTGGGATGGAAGGAAGCATACATAAGGTTCTTTTGCATTATGAAGACTCATTATTCTGCCAATGGAGCTAAGCTAGCAAGAGAATGATTATGCTTGATTTAAAGAAATGGGTAAAAAGATAATGACATTTCAAAAGGGAGGAAATTTCAACCCATAGCTTAGTGGGGCAGAAGTCAGGCCTGAATTACTTTCTATTTTACTTGCTTCACTATAAAAAAGGTGAGACTCCTAAGCATCTCTGAGAAGACACAGGCCTTAATCCCACAATTCAATATTCTGATTAGTGCTAATACAATCCCTGAATGATTGGATCAATCCAGAATAGGGAACTTGCTCAACTTTGGCAGTGTCTATTTAAACTAGAGGGGTTGTTCTTGGAATCTATTCAGAAGCTAAGACTGACAAATAATGCCAGAGAATGAGCAGTATCACATCTTAAGGCCATCACTACAGTGTTGTGCAGCCAGTTCCAAACTAGGAAAAAAGTACATTTGCTTTAATAGCAAGAATGAACTGCTGCCTCCTTCAGAAAGGGTGAGTTCTGGAGAGTAGGCGCTTTTAAAGGACTTCAGGAGGTGCCAGACAATTTGGAGCTTGGGAAAACTTCATGTCCATAGAGGATTAAAAATGCTATCTTGGAATTTCAGGCCAGCTTTCAGCAATCTCAACCTTTCAAAGGCCAAGCAGCAGCTCTCCCAAATAGGATGCCAATCAATAGCTCAAACACCTACAAAGAACTAAATCTAGGGAGCAAGGAGCTGTTTCAGCTAGACACTTTTAAAGGAGATGATCAGAGCATTCTGACACCCTGAGAGAACCAGAAGCACTTTGGAGGAAAGGATAGGACAAGACCCTTTTATCCAGCCAGTTCATTCAGCAGGCAGCCCTCAGAGAACAAGGAGTTAGCACAATGAGAGTGAGCAAAGTCTAATTTCATCAGCAAGCTCACCACGTTGTTTTTAAAAGGGGGCTTAGGATGGACATGGAAGAAAAAATTCCGACAAGGAAAGCAGGTGTGTGGTATGTACTGTTTGATCTAAGGAAGAGAAGTGATCTGAGTCCTTGTAGTGACTTCTCAGAGAGTAGGGAAGCACCCCAAGAGGAGGAATCAAGTCTGGGGGCACAAACCTGCAATGTCTCCCGATGCGCAGCTGGAGACGACTGTGGCAGCCTGCCGCTGTAAACATCCGACTGAAAGCTCCTCTGAACAACTTACAGCTTCCAGTCAAGGATGTTTACAGTAGCAAAGACTGCCCAGAAAAAAACAGTCGCAGTGAAGCACACTCTGCTCCAGTAAGGAAGCAACACAGGGCTTGCTAACCCAAAGGTCCCTGTGCAAGGTCAGAATTAAGGCTGACTAGGATGCCCACTTGTCCTACACTTTGAATGCCCATAGGCCAACACAGGGAGAGTGGCTGTCACCAAACAACTGCTTCTAAGGATAATAGAAACAGCTGTTCTATTATTTCTATGAAATAACTCATTAAAAACCTTTAAAATTTATTAACAAAACAAAGCCAGTAGAACAAGGTATAGCTTTGTTCCTAAGACTCGGCCACTATTTCCCAAACATTTCTGTTATACTTAATGAGTCATGCAAACTGTGTGCCTAAAACAATGAGTCTCACAGAACAGGGGTCTATTACAACTGCAATTAAGAGCTACATGCACCCAAGTGCTTTAAAAAAAAAAAAAACAAAACAAAACTGGTATGACCTTTGGAAAGGGGCAGACAGAAGAAAGGGGCGGGCAGACACATTCGTACAGTAGTGGAGCTCAAATCTGGTTGCACATTAAAAATCACCTGGAAAGCTTTAAAAGGTACTATGCCTGGGTGCCAGCATCACAGATTCTAATTCAGCCTATGGGGGTAAAACCTGGGCAATGGTATTTCTTAAACGCCAAAATATGTTCTAATGTGCAGCCAGGATACTACGAAGAGCCACAATATAGAGYAAGAGAAAAGAAAACCCACCTGTATGTAAACCACTGTTTACATTCAGAAGCAGTTTCTGAAAATCTGAAATTAACTTGCTGGGAATATTCTCCCATCTCAGATTAAGAACTCTGATAAGACTTCCTCAGGGTACCTTGAAATGCACTTCAGTCTACTGTTTGTAACTAACATCTTTATTTTTCATTGAATTTAATTTCATCTATTTTCACTGAAATACTACTTAAGAGGTACTGAGTTAAAAGTATCTATAAATGAGTAGCAAAGATGTTAAAGATGGATCTAGACTAAAGAAGAACAAAAAGAAGAGCAAATGCCTTGTGCAAAGAGAAGAAGCACGTCTGACAGCAGTATGGCAAGGCTCTGTAGTCAGCAGCATAACTGTACCTTCCCCAGCTCACCTGACGCTTTGGAGGTTTCAGTTCATCTCTTGGAACAATATCGATGAGAAAGTCAAACTGATCAAATTTTGTAATTGCCATGGCGATATCATTCCTCTGTAACAAAGAAAAGCAAAGTGAAAACTTGGCCTGGGGATAAATTAGTTCATCTTAACCTCCAATTAAGATAGATGACTTTTAAGTCAAACTAAATATCCCTGGCCACATCTATAACTGAAATAAGCACAGTCAAACTCAAGAACTTCAAATCATCAGACATGTTAAGACAGAAGTCAAAAAAGAAAGAGATACACCTAGCTTATGCTCTAAAACGGGTATCTCTACCTCCAATCGCTAGTCTTCCTGCATTATCTCATCCTAGGGCCCTACATGCAACTATCAAAATATCCTCCAGCTAACCATAGACAAATCCAGCAATCTTAACCAGGAAGTCTTTGATTATTCTGTGGTTATCAAGGTCAGCTTATTATTCAATCACTTTTAGGCCCTAAGTAATATTTTGTCTTTGGTTCACAAGTAGTTATAATCTTATCACTAGATCTATACATGCTGGACCCTCTAAAACTATGATTCTTATTGTGGACTTCTAAGCTGCAGTGATAAATTCTTGGTTTGAATCTGGTTTACTGTAACATGAATATTGAAGGTTGAAATCACTACAATAGTAGCAGCATAGGAAGAGAACACAGGAGTTACTGGACTAAAAATACAAAACCAAGGTTTGTTCTGATAAGGTTTCCTCTCCAAGCATTACACTTCCTTCCTTTAAATAATAAAATTAGAAAATTTTTATTGAAACCCAACACATTTTATGTATATAAGATTTGTTTACTCTACTGAGACATTTAAAGCAAAAGAAAAGCAATGAGAAAAAACACTGAGCTCTAATGAAACTGAAGTATTTAGGGGAAAGTCAATTTAAAAATTTTCCTAAAAATAGATGACTTGATGGATGTATAGTTTAGATATGGGGATAAAACAAGTAGAGTGGTAAATAAACAGATGTTCACTGTAAACTTTGCTTATGTTTGAAATTCTTCATATTAAAATATCAACACACTAACAGAAATCAGTAGCAACTTCTTACATACCACACCTTAAGCAAGGTGACTCATCAGACAAATAGGGGATGGAAATTTTCTGGTTTTTCCTTCTTTGGTATCTATGATGGCCCCAAGCCACTGAAATGCAAAACTCCAGTGCACCCTCCTGGCCAACAACCAGCTTGATAATAAACCCTCCCAAATGAAGCAGGGCATATCTTAAAGACTGCCAGGACTCATTTAAGGTAAGTATACTGTAGTGTCACATTCTTGATGATGATACCTACTCAAACTATCTAAATGGCTCATCTATGGATGGAATAAGGGGGTAAAGGAGACAATAATCACCTCTAAACATATACCAAAATGGTCTGGACTTTTTTGAAAACAGATATATCTAAATTTATCTTTCTAAAATTTAAATTTTGCCCTTTTTTTAGGGGGGGGGAGTGGTACTGAGGATTGAACCTAGGGGAGTTATACCACTAAGCTGTATTCTCAGTCATTTTTATTTTGAGACAGGGTCTCACTAAGTTTTTGAGGGCCTCACTAATTGTGGAGGCTGGTCTAGAACTTGTAATCCTCCTGTCTCAGCCTTCCAAATTGCTAGAATTATAGGCATGTGCCACCATGCCCAGCTTCCCATATTTTATCTTTTTTAATAATAACATTCATTACTACTCATCTTCAATAAAATACAGAAATGTAAACCCAGGTAGATAATACAGATAAAAATACAGAAAGTTCCCTTCTAATCTTTTTCAGCCAATCACCTTTTCCCTGTAGCCCCTAAACCTGAGGCAACCACAACTCTGATTTCTACTTTCTACAAGTATAAATTAGTCCTGATTTCTTTTGCTTAACATGTGTTTTTTTTTTTTTTTAGAGTGAGAGAGGAGAGAGAGAGAGAGAATTTTTAATATTTATTTTTTTTAGTTCTCGGTGGACACAACATCTTTGTTGGTATGTGGTGCTGAGGATCGAACCCGGGCCGCATGCATGCCACGCGAGCGCGCTACCGCTTGAGCCACATCCCCAGCCCTGCTTAACATGTTTTTGAGATTCATCCTTGCTATATGGAACAAAGTTTTATTTCTTTTTATTGCTGAATAGTAATTCCTTTTGTGGATATATTGGAATTTATTAATAATACAAAAACTAATGGATACCCAAGTTGCTTCCAGTTTTGGGCTAGTATAAATGATTGTTATAAATATTTCTACACAGGAATGTCCACATATGAGTAGAATGGTAGTCAGAGAAGAGATAGTTTTGTCAGACGTGCTAAATAGTTTTTTCAAAGTGATTATATCACTTTACATTCTGATCGGCAACATGTAAGTTTCAGATATCTCACTTCACCAATACTTGGTACTGTCAATCTTTTTTATTTTAGTCAGTCTGATGGGTATAAACTAGCATCTTACTGTGTTTTTAATTTGTATATACCCTACTATTAATCATGTTGCACCATCTTTTCATAGGCTTATTGGTCATTTGGCTATCTTCTTTTTCAAAGGAATTGAGTGTTTTGCATATTAATCAGAACTGACCTTGAAAGTGGTAGCTTTTATAGCATCTCTCTAGATCCAGACTTTTTTCAGGGCAATTTTTTGTGGTTGTTGTTTTGCAATTTTCACATGCATCAGAGTTCAATATATTTCCCTTATGTTGTTCTTTTGCTTTAAATTTTTCATAAAGTAAACAAATCTTAACTCTATGCCACAATATCTGGCTGCACTAGAATGTAGGATTCACATGGTAGAAATTTGTCTATTTTGTGTATTGTTAATCTTCATAGCCTACACAGTACCTGGCACATTATGGGTGTTCAGTAAACACCCATAATTTGTAGAATAAATAAACAAACACACGTATTTTCAATTTGGTAGTCAAAGGGAAATGAGGAAAAAATAGACTTTGCTTTCTTGGCATTATTATTAAAATACTGTCACAGTTTTGTATCTGTTAAACCCTTCCTCTTATATTGGGGAAACTTTTTCTCCCAGAATTGGGACCTGGATTATAAGAGAGGGTTTACAGAGCCAATCACCAAGGGTTTTACATACCATAAGAATGCYGACTACTGTATTAAAAGAAAAAGAAAATGAAAACAAAAGGATTTCCAGGAAGACAGACAAGGAACAAAAAAAGCTAATTAAGTCAGTGAGACTACGAATTCTTCCTGAGATTGTCCCTTCCTGGAATCTCTCAATGCTCTCAACCAAAAGTTTTTTACATCTGGAAACAGATAAATATCCTATAACTTGAGCCTCTGTTTAGATGAGGGCTCACCAAGTGAAGAGTTCAGTCACCAGCTGTGAAAATCATGCAAGATTCGGAAATTAAGAATCTTGGTAAGGAAACAGTATCACCACAGCTGTAAGGTATGCCTGGGTCCCAATGCAGAGAAAGATGCCTGACAAAGCCAAAGGAAGAACAATTTTTGGTCCAAAGCCATGCAAGAGAAGCAGGCAAAGGCAGCTTTTTTCCCCAATGTAAGCCTGCTATATTACCTGAAGGGTGCGGCGCTTGTTATCCTCTGTATGGATCCAGGCTCGAAGAGTCAGTTCTGTGATAAAAATCTGGGCTGCCTTGGCAAAGAGCACAGGGGCTTCTGCACTGATCATCTGCAACAGACGTAGGCCCTCCCTGTCAATCATCAGCAAATCATTTAAACCATTCTCTTGCCTCATGGCTTACATGAGGCAAGAGTTAAAAAAAAAATAAGTAGGTGGTAGCCTCAGAAGATTCCAAGGTAAAATAAATCCATGAATAGGAACAAAGCAGGTAACAGGGAGAAGGGAAGAGGGACGAAGAATACTTATAGGCCCTAAGCAAGGTGCTTTCTTACCTTCTTAATAGCTCTTCAAAGAAATGAGGGGTTAGGGAATGGGAAGAGACTTGACCAGCCACAGAGTCAGTAAGTGGTAGGATTTAGGTTCTAATCCAAGGAGAGACAATGTGGGGAAAGATAATAAACTCAAGAGCCAATGGATATAGGTAAAATCTCAGACTTCTCATGTTTCTGGGCTTTGTTTTTCTCAAAATGAAAAAGAGAATAACCTTCCAGTGTTATAAATTATGAGAATCAAATGAGATGATATATGTACCTAGCACAGGGCTTGGTATGTAGTAAGAGCTCAAGCAATGAAGGTGCCTCAATGTGTCTGTCTTCCAAGTTCAAGTTTAATTAAACAAGTCTCTAAATTCCTGGTGGAGTGTTCTGTGCAGGGAAGAGTCACACAAAGAGCTCCAGAGTTAAAGAAGCAGGAGAACTGGAATCTTGGCTCTATCATGCTGGGCAAATTACTTCAGCTTTGTGCCTACTTTCTTATCTGTAAAATGGAATGAAACATTCTTATCCTGTCAAATCTCACAAGGTTGCTGTGAGGAAGAAGAACGCTAATAAAAGGGGAAATTGCTATGGACTGTTAGCTTTCTGTTTAAATGCAAGAGACCATTAATTCCAAGTGGTAATAAGGTAGAGGCAGAGCTGTTCTTTCCCTAAGAGTTGTAATGGGAGGTGGCCTCATAGGAATATAGAAATGGCCAGTCTTAAGGAAACCGTCTCACAAATATTCACTCATGTAAAACAAACTCACAGGTTAAAAGGTCAGAACAGGTTCAATGTTAACATCAGAAATTTCTTAGAGCTCTGATTAACTAGCCAGAGACTGCAATAAGCTGCCAAATGAGCAGGCACGGTGATGCACACTTCTAATCTTAGTGACTCAGGAGGCTGAGGTAGAAGGATCAAAAGTTCAAGGCCAGCCTCAACAACTTGGTGAGACCCTGTTTCAAAATAAAAAATTAAAAGGGCTGGGGATGTAGCTCAGTGGTAAAGTGCCCCTGGGTTCAATCCCTAGTACTACAACAACGAAAGACGCTAAGATGATGGTACTGTCCTGTTGATCTGACAATACATGATGTTCTTTGTTTTTGCCGTACTGAGGATTGAACCCAAGGTCCTCTACCACTGAACTACATCCTGAGTCCTTTTTATTTTTATTTTCAAACAGGGTCTCACTACATTGCTGAGGCTGACCTCAAATTTGAGATCCTCTTGCACTGGTCTCCCAAGCAGCTGAGATTACACGTTATGTGCCACCCTGCATGGCCATGATACAAGTCATTTACACTACACAGTAAAACGAACTAGGCAATGCCACCTGATATAAAAACCAAACACCCAGCATCTTCTCGATACTCTAAAAAAACAAGATCCCCAATTTTCAGAGCAGCTGCATATAATAATTAAAACTGTTCAATTTCAGTTCATTTAGTTTTAGAGAGAAACGAAATAAAACCAAAAAAGCAACAGACAATAACAATTATTTTCCTTGTTTAATTAAACTCTGAGTTCTAGAGAAATGAGCAATATCCTATCCATCATTTTGGCTTCAGAATGAATAATAAAAATAAATGTGAACTCACCTTCACATCTTCATCCAGTTTCATAATCTTCTTAATACGAGCCAGTGGGAGTTCCTGTACTCGGAAATCTTTCTGAAATGAGCAACAAGAGAGGTATAAGAGGTGGGGACAATCAATAAGGTGGCAGAGCATCTTAGGAAGTAGCAAATACTGACTAGTTTAGACTCTTCCTTCAGAAAATATGGCAGGGGAGGGGGACAAATGAAATGAAAAAAGTACAAACTCCAGAAAAAAAAAACTTCTTTATTTAACCCACACAGAACTTCAAACAATTACAGGGTTTGAGGGAAAACTTATAATGGCCTTTAACAGTGCCCATATAAAAGGCAGCCCCAACCAATATCAGGTTCTATATCTCAGTGCAATACAAAGGTGCATTATAAATGCCTTTTTTTCCCAAGAAAGTTTACTGGTCTGCTATATGTGGATTAAAACAGATTTCTGCCTCAGGGAGCATTCCTCTAAACTGTCAATTCTTCCTTCTGTTCAGGGACTATAAGGGAAAGGGCCAAGGCCAGAAACACCTGACCACAGTGATCCATGGTTCTTTTCAGCTAGTACAATACTGGCCCTTTCTGACCTCTGCATTAAGAAAATCAGAAAGAGGCTCCTTTCTCATCATAGCAGCAAAGGAGACTTTGTCTCTAAAATTTATTTCAGGGTGTGGGTGGAAAGTTATGGAAAAAGTGTGAGGGTAAATTTACCAACTGCCTTTTAGCAACCATGCTGATTTTTCTTAAAAAACATCCCTGTTTCCCCCCCCCCCTACTTTTAGGAGTGGTATCAGTAAGGTGAAGGAGCAGATTTTCTCTCAGAGCATTCTTATGCTCCTGACAACAAAGAATTTGAAATTGACAAGTTCAAGATGCTTGAATTCACTCAATCAGAGGTAGGAGCCAAGAAAAGTCAATGGTTCTTGGGCTGTACTTAAAAATCCAGAGTTTCAAATAATGATGACAAATTTCTTCTATCTAGGTCTATGCAGTCAGGCACTTCAGAGAGTCAATATTCTAATCCTCTTGAAAGCAGTGATTCTTAACTTTGACTAAACATTGTAATCACCTGGTAATCTTTTGAAAGATGCCTGGGTTCTCCCTGAGACAAATGAATAAGGAACTCCGGGGAGTAGAGTCCTGGCATCAAGTTTTTTGACTAAGAGTCAGTGAAAGTTAAGAACTTTTATTTTAGAACCTTGCTACTCAGAGTGACATCCTTAGGCCAACAATGACATCACTTGAGAACACAAAATAAAGGTGGCATCTTGGGCTCTACTTAAAGACTACTAAATCAAAAACAATTTTAACAAGGTTCTATAACGAGACAATACAGTCTGAGAAGCACCACTCTACAGGAAGGGCCCACAACACAGGGTTCATTTTATAATAGTCCACCAGAGGTCCCCACCTAGTTCCTATTTAAATAACCATTTAAAAAATATTATCAGGTTTGATTATAGTGCTAGAAATGTAACTGTCCAATCTGGAGGCACTAAGTAATGAAAAGATGCCACTGTTGCCGGGCACTGTGGCGCATGCCTATAATCCCAGCAACTCGGGAGGCTGAGGCAGGAGGATCCAGAGTTCAAAGCCAGCCTCAGCAGATTAGTGATGTACTTAGCAACTCATCGAGACCCCATCTCTAAATAAAATATAAAAAAGGGCTGGGGATGTGACTCAGTGGTTAAGCACCCCTGGGTTCAATCCCTGCTACCAAAAAATAAAAAGATGCCACTGTCAATTAAAGGAAAGTAACTTAGGCATTAATTTACAGCTAACTGACAGCTGTATGGGAATAAGTTGGGGGAGGATTAGATTTATCAAGATTCAGCATCATCACCACCCCCATCCAAAGACCAAAGTTGGCTTTGCCTTCTCAACTGTCAAGGAAGTCCAGAGGGGTAAAACTTAACGTCACAAAGTCTATTACCTTTTGTTCCTAGAGCTCTGCCTGAGCAGGAATACGCAGTATTTTATACATTCACTCTGGTACACTATCATTTTGGGATGGCTTTTAGCCAACTTCAATCCCAGATAACACCTGAATTTATGGACAATTAGAGGGCTTTTAAGAATGAGGGAACACAATGGTCAGGCAGAGATAAAAGATAAATTGCTTTTGCAGGACTGAGGGCCAGAATGGTATCAGTAAGGTGAAGGAACGGAGCATTTTGTAAATTTCTGCCTCATTTCACAGTTCTACTAGGCGGAAATAATATGATCTCTTTAGCTATGACCCTTTCTTGTTGCTTTTGAAACACATCATCTAGCAAATTATAATTTCTTGGTTTTGGAAAGTATGTTTCTCAGTCTTAGAGAGACAACAACACTTTATGCATATTCTTTTAAATTATACTATGTTTGGATGGTTTAAGCACAATGGATTTTTTTTTTTAATTTGTTAAACATTTTGAGGTGTCAACCTAAGAGGTTATGGCATATTTGAAGAAGTCTGATTTTTAGTACTGCTGAATTCTGGAAAGGCCGAGATGAAATGCCAAAATGTTTGGTCAAGTAGCACAGGCAACATGAGGTACAGTCAGAGAAACAAATGCCTCCATGTGCTGAAATTACAGTCCTGAGCATAGAGTAAAAAGAGAGTTTTACAAAGGGAAAAACCACCCTGACTTTATTAAATCACATTTCACTGAAACTTGTAACTGATGTTGCTTTACATTAAATCTGAAGTGGAAGAGTCTGGTTCACTCAAATATTATTGTGCAGGTACAATATGCCAGACATTGTTCTAAGCAGATGATGTCATAGCATAGTAGAAGTCTAGTAATCAATGGAAGAGATATTAAAAAAACATTCTTTTTATTCTTTGCCCCATACCCCAAACCAAAACTGAATGCCTCAAAGTAATCAATCCTCTTTAAACCTCTGATAGACTAGATGTCTAGGTGCTAAAACTTGGTCAATACCACAATCTGCATTTTTGACAAACTTGAAAAGTAAACCAGTAGGTTAAAAATAAAAGCCCAGGATAATAGTAGCACTACTCACAATAGCCAAGAGGTGGCAATGACTCAAGTGTCTATTAACAGATGAATGGATAAACAAATGTGGTATATACATATAACAGGATATTATCAAGTCTTAAAAGGAAGGAAATCTTGTTACACATGGATGAACCTTGAGAACATTATACTAAGTGAAATAAGTCAGTCACAAAAGGACAAATACTATTTGGCTCTACTTACATTAAGTATCTAAAGTAATCAAATTCATAGAAAAGAAAGGAGAATGGTGGTTAGCAGGGTCTGAAGAATGGGGAGTTGTTTTAATTGGGAGAGTTTCAGTTTTGCAAAATGAAAAAGTTCTGGAGATGTGTTTCCCAAAGATGTGAATATACTTAATGCTACTAAACCAAACATTTAAAAATAGATAAGATAGTAAATTTTATTATTATTATATTTTTAAAATATTTATTCTTAAGTTTTAGGTGGACACAATATCTTTATTTTACATTTATGTGGTGCTGAGGATCAAACCCAGTGCCTCATGCATGCTCTCTACCATTGAGCCACAATTCCAGCCCTGTTATTTCTTTTTATTGCAACTATCATCTAATCAATCAATCAAAGCTCAACGGGATACCGAAAAGTTAAAGTGTTGAGCTTAAACCTCTCTGGCCACCTGCCTGGTCCTGAATTTATGTCTCTGAGCCCTCGCTAGTGCAGACTTCTAAATGGGCCAATCCTGCCATACTGCCAGTTTTCAATCAGACTGACCCTCACACCAAAACCCAGTAAGCTTAACCATTAGATTATCTTCCCAATTTTTGAGAAAAACATCCCACTTTTGACTTTATAATGCCACTGTTCCCTCCACTCTCTTTTCTGAGACAGTACAAATAACTACCACCTTGAGTCTGCTGAAGAGAAACAATGGTTCTTCACTGGAAATCTACTCTGAACACAAGCCACTGTGAAAAAAACCAAGCCAAATTCCACTGCTGAAAACCCCTTATGTAAATAAACACCACCCACAGGTATATTCAGAATATGAAATAAGTTTTTTTTAAATATATTTTTAGTTAATGAACCTTTATTTATTTTTATATGGTGCTAAGGATAGAACCCAGTGCCTCACACATGCTAGGCAAGCATTCTACCACTGAGCTACATCCCTAGCCCTGAAATAAGTTTTTTACCCTGTAGTTAGTGGGTATTTATCATAGTGGGAAACTAGTTTGTTCTTTCTACTTACCACTGAGCCACAACCCCAGCCCCTGGTTTCTTTCTTTTGTTACCTGTTTTCAGTCTGTCAACAGAACTCATGTTCCCTGAGTACTACTGGCGTACTACTGGACCCACAAAATTCAGCATAGCTACAATAAGTGCAAAATATTTGTTGAGTAAATAAATAAGGGGACCTTGTTTTAGCAGAGACTAAAAGCCATTAAATCTAAGGAATTGCAATATTAGCTCCACATCAGTAAGGAATTCAGTACTGTCTCTGCCCTTATGCTAATACCTCTAGGGCAGGAATGACATATTCAACAGAGGGAACTCCTTCAGTATTTGCTAAAATAATACCAAATGGAACAGTCTTCATTAAGGACATGATCCTGTACTCTGAAAATACTCTAATTCTAACCTGTTTCACCTTTTACTACCACTCTCACACCCCGACTGTCCTCCTACCCCAACCTCTACTACTCATGTAGGAACCTTCAGCACTCCAATCTTCTTGCTACTCCTCTAAACAAAAAGCTTTCTGCTCTAAGCCTCCATTCCTTTACAGACCCCTTCTCACTGCCCAAGATCTATTGTCTCATCCTTTTAATCTGATGAATRCTTATTCATATTTCAAGATGCAACAAACATGTTGGCTTTACTTGATGCCTTCCCTAACTCAACCAGCAAGAAGCAAGCACTATGACTTCTGCACTCCCTTAGCACATTGCCTTTTACTGATTCAGGAGTCAACACTATGCCCAAGTCAGTGAGTATTTAATAAATACTTATTGAGTAAATTAGTCTGGCTGTAATTACAAGGTTGGGTTCTTCTAAATCAGTGGTTTTCAATAGTGGATGATATTAGCCCAAAGGGACATGTGCCAATATCTGGTACATTTTTGGTGGTCACAGCTTGGAGAAGATACTATTATCATCTAGTGAACAGAGGCCAGAGATGCTGCTAAACATCCTATAGTACACAAGACAGCCCCTCACAACAAGAATTATCTGGCCAAAAATGTCAATAATGCTGCTATTAAGAAACCCTGACCTAAATGCATTTTTTTCAAAATTTTTTAAATATATATATATATATATATATATTTTTAGTTGTTGATACATCTTTATTTATCTATTTATATGTGGTGCTGAGAATCAAACCCAGTGCCTCACACATGCCAGGCAAGGGTGCTACCACTAAGTCACAGCCCTAGGCCCTAATACCTCAAAAGAGTGTCTGCCTCACAACCAATTTCTTAAATAAATTATCAGTTATTTCCCCCCAAGTTCTAGAAATTTACAGGGCCACTAAATTAGGCAATAAGAAATGAACTATTTAAAAAAAGAAGAAGAAGAAAGCAATGAACTATRTCAACTTCACGAAGGTAAGATCCCTGCTTTTCTCGTAAAAGATATATCTCACGTCAGACAACAAACATCCAAATCAAAGTATCCATCACACACACACACACACCTAAAAAACACCACTAAGATGATATAGGACACACTTACAGCTACCTTACCTAAGGTAAGTGATATTTTCATTTTCGCATAAAGGAATGTACTATGTTAGGAATGTATGATGCCTTTGTAAGTATGCTTGAAATGAAAATGTTTTAGTCTCAAGTTTTTTGAAATCATCTTTAGAAGTTTCTCAATTTTCCTTACCACTGTTAAATTCCGGATTTCTTCCATAACACGAGGCCAGAAGGACTGGAGGCTTTGCTGAGCATCACTGCTACTAGTACCACCAAACCCTCCTTCTGTGGACATTTCGATAACTGAAAACACACAGACATGAGACACATTAGAAATTAATAAAGTCAGACTTTTTGTCCATGTTAGTAATTTCTCTATAGATGTTTTCACTAATTTTTCAGTCTGATAAGGTATATACTTTGTCTCTACTAGAGATTTCTGGCACAGATTMAAATCTTAGCAGAAAAAATTAGGAGGAAAGTTTTCCCTTCAGTTTAGATTACACCACCACAAGAGAAAATCAAAGGAGCTCTAATTAGAAAATCAAAATATAAATCAAGACCTTTAACTTCTTGTGGGAGTGGGGAAAGGATTTTGTTGCCCTAGTCTACTATACTTTCAAAGCTTTTTCAGGTTCTCCATGGTTTCCCAAACTTCAAGTCATGGCTTGCAGCAGATATATTAAGAGTCCCCAGAGATTTATATGGAACAAAATGTTAGTCCCCAAATCTTTTAAAATAAGAACCAAATTTATTCTTTTGTTTCAGATACTGGAGCCCATTTTTCTGAAGTTACTGGTAATTATTATTACTTCTAATTTAAGGCAAATCTGTCTCAAAGACATAAAAGTGCAAAAGACCATGTCAATAACTAAGTGGGTGACATGAAGTCTGAACTGAAACACCTACTTCCTAAATCTTTCCTGAACCTTGCTCTTTTTGGCACAAAGCCAAACATAACACACCGGCAAACAGAAGCTTTAAAGACAGTTGAAATAATGGTGAATTAAAATTAGCATAAAGAGAGACAGAACCTACATTTGGTCAAGTGTTTTGTGATAAACATGAATCCCCACATTAGTTCTAACTGTAGATAATATTGTAATGTCTTTAAAAAGAAAAAAAAAATCTTCCAGATTGCTTAAATGCTTATCTGGCAAACAGTTAAATGCAAGCAACAGTGTAATTAGGAACAAAGAACCAGAAACTTGGTGATCTCCTAAGAATTTCTATTCCAGAGAATTATTTGAAAAGGCTTAACATGCCAGTGACAGGATGCTGGCAGAGAGCTATGTAAGTTGTTTAGAACTAATTCTGAGTGACTGAAAGAAAAGGCACCAAAGCTAGGTATCACATGATCAAACGTGTCACTTTCCAGACTCCATGTGGATGCATGCGAGGCAGATCAGTTTCCAACAGCAGAATGAAACTGAAGACTGACAAATCTAGGTTTAGCCTAAAAGGATGTTCAGTTCACAAAAATGTTTGTCTCAGGTCTCTGACCTCCCTCCCCTTTTCCTTCCAAAGAAAATGAGAGAGGAAAGAAATGGAAGGAAAACAGAAGTATAATCTTCAAAGCAGACTTCACTCTGGTATAATGACATTAGTGGGTGATGATGTAATGGGAAAAGGTTTGGAGCCAATTTTTGGTGCTGGAGGCCTATAAACAGCTCTATACATCAACAAGAACTCTAAAGTATCTGGGAAGCAGTATGTTCTTGGAGTTTCTGGAAGGAGTTAAAGGGAAGTGTTGAATCACAGTTGGAAATGTCTAGATAAAATCAGTGATTGTATAAAAATGCTTCTTGAATTGTGTACCTTTGTGATGTATTTGGGAAGAGATAAGAGGACAGCTGAAACTTGTTACCACGGCTGGGTATTATTTAATACTCAGTGAGTATTAAATAATCCAGTGAGATTCCCCTCAATTCAGCTCTCATGACATTTCCACTTATTAGCACATACACATGATCTATATACAACTTAAGATGCATTTATAAGAAAAAATTCAAGGTAATCTAGAGAATATTAATTTATTTTTATTAATAGTTTTCTATAAGGTATTCATGACAATGAAGAGAGTGATAAAATCTAAACTTTTTAAATGGGCAAATAAAAAATCTTTCTGGAAATGAAAATTATGAAAAAAAGCTCAAAAAAAGAATCTAACCTTTCACAGCATGGGTCCATGGACAGGTATGATCTTAGCACAATGTTCCACACAAACTGCTATACAGTTAAAGAAGGAAGATGCACTGTTACCAATGTGACATCTTCGTACATTCACTAATGATGGGTAGGTTTAAATGGAGTGCAAAGGTCTGTAAGATTTAGAAGTTTGGTAACAAGTTTTTTTTTTTTTTTTGGTATGTTTGTATGTGTGTGGTACTGGGGACTGAACTCAGGGGTACTCAACCACTGAGCTACATCCCCAGTCCTATTTTGTATTTTATTTAGTGACAGGGTCTCAGGAGTTGCTCAGCACCTTGCTTTTTGCTAAGGCTGGCTTTGAACTCGCAATCCTCAACCACTGGGATTACAGGCATGCGCCACTGCAACCAGCCAAAGTAACAAGTTTCAGCTGTCCTCTGATCTCTTCCCAAATACATCACAAAAGTACACAATTCAAGAAGCACTTTTATACAATCACTGTTCGGTTTGCTTTTACATTTTGAACTGCTCCAACTCTGCATATGCGGCAAGGTCAGTCTGTGTAGTCAATAGATCACGAATGAATCTTTAGCTGGCTCAGAGCCACACACTGTTGCAGTGGAGTTGTGGCCAAACAGGTTATCAAATATTTCTTAATTAGAAATGTATTAAATGTTAAGTTTTAACTTGAGAAGATAGCAGCAAAAAATACAAGTAAATAATAATGCCTCTTATATTTTATTCCATCAGAGGAGTTGAGCACTGAAAAGACACCAAGAGACAACCAGGCCCACCCCTCTGCATGGGGCCCAACTCCTCTTTAATCTCTGTTTCAACCCCAGGACTCTCCCTTAAGTAGTCATCCAGCTTAAATTTGAGTGCCTGTCTCTCTCTCTCTCTCTAGTTCAGAAAACTGGCTTACTGGTAAGGCATTCTTTTCCATCATTGGACAGATCTGAATGTTCTTCTTTACATTAAGTTTAATTTACAAGGTAAGTTACATCTGAGCTTTGCATTTAATTACAATCTTTATATTTTTTCCATCCAGCCACACTTTCTTTATTCCTTCTCCTTTTTTTTTTTTTTAATAAATTCCTGATCTCAAAAGACAAAAGTACTCTCTATTTAGGACACAGATCCTCCCATGGGGAAAAAAAAGAAAGATAAAAGATCTAAAGCATGTTTTCTAGCATCTTTGCAGAGATGATTAGTAATATCTCTTGGAAGAACATAAGTTAATTGTAAATTCCTGGAAAAGGTGAGTCCTTTTATCAAAAGGCTTTTCCTAAAGAAGATCCATTCAGTGCATTGAGCTTTAAAACATTAGACCAAGCCAGGTGCAATGGCATGTGCCTATAGACCCAGCTACTAGGAAGGCTGAAGCTGGAGAATTCCCTGAGCCCAGGAGTTTAAGACCAGCCTGAGCAACATAGCAAGACCTCATGTCAATAAAAAATAAATAAATAAGCCAAGCAATATATTTCATGAAAAACTAATTAGTGTTCTCAATATTCTCTCACTGAGGTATGATTTAACATTCAAGTAATAATGCCTAATTGAAAACACAAAATAATTTTGCTGGCCAAAGACACCAACAAGTTAAAAAATATGAAGCAATTTTAAATGCCATTAACACATTAATTGTAACTGAACCGATACTACAGAAGTAGCCAATTTATAACATCAGTGGCCCACAGAAAATGTGTTGGGTTCATCTGGGTGATGAAAGAAGGTATGCATTTAAAAGTTACAAGAGATTTATTTAAGGATTATTTTCATTCCATGTTAAGTCACTATCTCTACCACTGGGGAAAGCTATTTATATATAAARTTGACAGTAGACAAAACGGTCTTTTTTTTTTTTAATATTTATTTATTTTTAGTTCTTGGCGGACACAACATCTTTGTTTGTTTGTGGTGCTGAGGATCGAACCCGGGCCCCACGCACGCCAGGCAAGCGCGCTACCGCTTGAGCCACATCCCCAGCCGACAAAACGGTCTTAAGACCATGCCACATTAGCTTAGATCACGCTTATGAAAAATGCAATAAAGAATTTCCCAACTTTAGTTCATTTTAATGTTCAATTTATTATTCATGTTCACTAATTACTTTATAAATCCTTGAATAAGACTGTTTAACTGTTTAATAATGAGGTAAGAATTGAATTGAATGGTTGTTGCTGAAAGTAATCTCAGCTCCCAGTACCTATTAATTTATCTGTTTTTTAAAAGTTTGCTTTCCACAACTAGACAGGGAAGAATCAAAGTCCATAATGAAAAAGTAGTTTCTTCAATGCTCAGCTCAACTACCATTTCTCTACATAGTCTTCTTTAAATATCCCCATCTGCAAGTGGTCCCTCCTTCTTGTGAACCTTCAAAGCCCTTGATCCACTGCTCTCTTTCTGCCATCATGCATAACCTTGTATGATAATTATGTCTATGTCCCCTCCTGGTATACAAGTTCCTTTTTTTTCTTTTTTTGCACTAAGGATTTAACCTAGGGGTACTCCACCACTGAGCTACACCCTCAGACCTTTTCATTTTTAAATTTTTTTTTTTAAAGAGAGAGTGAGAGAGAGAGGAGAGAGAGAGAGAGAGAGAGAGAGAGAGAGAGAGAGAGAATTTTTAATATTTATTTCTTAGTTCTCGGCGGACACAACATCTTTGTTGGTATGTGGTGCTGAGGATCGAACCCGGGCCGCACGCATGCCAGGCGAGCGAGCTACCACCTGAGCCACATTCCCAGCCCAATTTTTTTTTTTTTTTAATTTTGATAGGGTCTAAGTTGTTGAGGCTGGCCTCCACTTACAATCCTCCTGCCTCAGCCTCCTGAGTCACTGGGATTACAGGTGTGTAACACCATGCCTGGCTCTGGTGAACAAACCAGAGGATAGGATCTGAGTAGGATTCATCTCTGGATCCCCCACATCCCCTAGCACAGTCTGATAACTACCAAGTGAAGGGCAAGGGAGTCACTAGGTACAGCCACTCTGAGAAAAAGGGCAACTTAGAAAGTTTGACCCCTCCCTTCGATTTTATGAAGCCATTTGAATTCCTCCAATGTGTTACTTTGACACTTAATGCAATGTTTATGCAACAATCATAAAATTGTGCTCCTTTTTGCAACTACTTAAAAATCCCCATCCTTGGC